CAACCTTCTTGCTGCGAGGCAACAGTGCTACTTAACTGCGCCACCCTGCGGCCCCAACTAAAAAATGCCCAGCTAAATAAAATCTATATGAAGTTAAATGTGCACTATATTTAGAACTTACCTTACAGTGAAAGTGGTGAATTTTTTTTCTGAAGAACAAATGCTGTTATATTGCTCTCTACCGCCATCAAACTCTATTTTAACAAAAAGGGTACTTGTACCTGGTAGAACCTTGAGTTGCTGATCTACCACTCCCTCAATCAGTTAGTTAGTTGGTGTTATTTGGGGTTATTTTGTACCTTAACTAACTTGTTAAAACACCAAAGCCACACAAACAAACTGACTGATGGAGACAGCAGTAGAAACAATTAAAATACACTTTGCTGATCACACTGTCCACAGCAGTACACTTCTTAGCTTCTGTACCTTGACTCCTGTCTGCTTCTGCAAACTGGGGTTGTGCTGTAGATCGTAAAGGGCTATGAGTAAGTACCTTATACAACCTTACCTGAAATAATTGGAACTAACTCATTTACATTTTAGCTCTTTTGTTCTGCATGTATATTTAAAATATCAATGTTCTCCCGTCAGATGGTGTCCATCTTGCAGCATTTCCAAAAGGTGACAACCAGCGAGATGGCAGCTTCCTGTCCTCAGCAGCTGGTTGCCATTGCAAAAAGATGGACCAGTCATATGGAGGGTTTGTTAGCCAATCACATGCCATACCCCTGCACTGTCATAGCTGTCCCTGAGGAAGCTGCTCTCTACGGGAACATTCAGCAGGTCTATCATTTCCTTTATAGTAAAAATGTTATATTGTCACCGTGATACATTTTTCTCTGTAGCCCTCTGGGGTGACATTGCGCTTGTCCAACTGCAACAGTACCAACTTCATACCTTTTAATATTATCTCTGTACCAGGTGGATGTACCAGCTTACTTTAAAAACTGTCTCGCAGCACACTGTTCAACTATTATGAGCCATCACGTGTTTTTATACTCCACCCAAGGGCTTGATAATATGTCACAAAAACAGTTTTTTTTGCAAACGTTTGTATGTGTTTAGTGTTTGTTTTTCACCTGAGGCTACAAATATGAAGATAAACCTTTGCACATAGTTGTTTGTTGTGGAAATTGAATGGTTGTTAAAAAAAAATTCTCTTTCCAAACTATTTCTTTTGACTTAACTTTGTATTACATCATGCAGTGTTCCTGCAGTGTACAGATTTAAATTGCCCATATTGTGTCACAAGAGTAAGTGAAAAAAAAAGGCTCACACCCCAAAGGGTCAAATTCTCTGCTGTCAGAATATATAATATAATACAGTCGTGACTCGATAATCCGACAATAAATGTAAAACCTTCTTTTATGTCGGACAGCAAGGCTGTTGGATTGTCAAGACAGAGGTTGAGCTAACCCTAACCCTTTGCTGCTGCTAACAGGTAGCAGCGATTACAATAGCAAATAGCAGAGTTAGCAGCAAGACAGCGCTAGTGAAACTCCATCAGCGCTTGTTATTAAATATTTTCCCGTTACGTACCCTCAAAAACAACGTATCGGCCCAATTTGCAACATTTTTTCAGGCAGCAGCGTAACAGGTCGTTACTCTGTTATGACGCTGGAGAGAACCCTGTATGCAATTATTATTATTATTACTATTATTATTATTATTATTATTATTACTACTACTACTATTTGCATAATTTATTTCATGACTGAATCGCTTGTTCACATTCGGGGATTCCCACTGATTGACAATCAAAATGAATGTAACAGAAAATCGCCATATACCGGAGCCCGCTATACCGGGCTGCAGGGTGGATATGATCAAAGCGGCAGACCGGTAAAGCAGTCTGCCGGGTTGAATGGGGTGAAAGCCGCAGTATAGTGTTGAAAGGGCTAAGATAGCGTCACACTTCTGTTTTCAGTGGTGGCGGCGGGGGAGTGGCAGACACACTCCACCATTACCATCCATGTTTACTTCTGCAAACACTGAGCACACTCGTTGTGTGTGACGTCGCTGTGTCCTCTTCTGCGGGACACTTTGGGTTGTATGATGTTCACACAGGAGATCACACTCAAGTTGCGTTTAATTGGAAATGTGAACGAACGTGCAAAAAAATCAGATTTCCCAAAAATCCAAATTGAGCATTAAGTCCTGCAGTCTGAACGTAGCCAATCTGCCGGATTGTTAAGTCAGATATCGGAATCCAAGGCTGTCGGTATGTTAAGGCTATTTTCTATAGGTTCTGTTCGTTTTTCCTAAAAACCTGTCGGATAGCAAGGTTTTTCGGATTGTTAAGGGTCGGATTATCAAGTCGTGACTGTNCTTCCGGTGTGACCAGTTTGTATCAGGGAAACATCTATATTGACACTGAGACCAACCTGCATGTTTAACCTCCATCCATCTGACTTTTAATTAGCAACAAGTTTGTCTCCAGGTGTTGCGGAGGAAGCAGTACAACACTTTGTCTGCAGCTGACTGTTACAGCTGGCCAGCTGTCGCTCGAGGATGCAACACTGTAATTGTTTCCCACAATGCTGACCAGCCACTGAGCTACCTCACCCCACTTCTCACCCACATCCTACTCAACTCCATCTTCACCTCCTTCACCTCCAGCTCAGGGGTGAGTGCATAAACACCAGGCAGGATGGATAAAACTGTTTTTTTTTTTATTGTAGTGCTGCCGTGTCCAAATATAATAAATATATGTTTTCATGCAGCCCATAGCGGTGCTGCTGTGTCCAGGCTGGGAGAAGGTCCAGGTGGTGTATGACCTGCTGGAGGAGTGTAATGTTGCCCACAGCCTCCACCCCATCAGCATGCTGCTCGGCGTTGGCAAGGACGAGGCCAAGGCCGTCAAGATTCCCAAAAACTGTAAGTGGTCAGCAAATTACTCAACCTTTTTGATGTTCTTGTTAAAAAAAAGAAAACAATAAAAAGTCTAAATGTTTGTTTACATGTCAGAATGTCATATAATGTCCAAACTTTTCTCCTTTATACCAGGCCTACTGTTGGTGACCACTCCTTTCACTCTGGTTCGTCTACTGTCTTGTCACTCCTTCCTGTTCCTGCGGCTGTACCACCTGGTGCTAGATGAAGCTGACCAGCTCTTTACTCTTGCTCCAGACCAGGTGACAGCTCATCATTTCCAATCAGTGTTGTTGTTTTTCATAGAGAAAACCCTCTGACATTCTGTTGAAAGTTCTGAGCAGCAAATTCAAAACTGGACTCTCTCATCATGAGTTTCAGTTTTTTATTTGGCCTGCTATTGGCTTTGGAGTGTATGTTAATTAGCTACAACTAACAACATCTTTGACTGGTGTCACTTGTCATTTTAGAAAAGCAAAGCCTACTCAGTGATAATAAATAGCTCTTGTCCAAACAGGAACATTTTGATCACACACAATTTTAGATGGGACATTTAAATTTAGAGTAATTTAGGGTCATTTGTGTGAGAGACATTTCCAAAGTGAGTGTATGACCTACGGTGCATGGTGGCCCACATCCCCCACTTTGGAGAAGCAGAAAGGAGTACCAGCATGGAAGCTAAATAATGCACTACTGTGGACAGGGTCAGCAGCCAATTGTATTTTAGCCAACTAAAAAATCCATCCATCCATCCATTATCTGTTCACCGCTTAATCCTCACTAGGGT